GATTTAAGTAGCAACTGTGGTACAAATTTCTTTTCATCCATCAGGGAAAGCTCCCTCATGTGGAACAAAAAAGGTAAAGGCAGGGCATTTAGCAGAATGATAACATGAAAACATTTGTTAGCATTTTTGTTGTTGTGCTTTAGATTGGTATTCCCTATTGTATGTGTACGTTGTGGATGCTCCAAAAGCCTGTCTCTGTGTGGAATACATAGCATAGGATGTCACATGTGTTTACCTATAGAAAGTATGTATTATGACTTAAAGCCGTTGGATGTTTCAAGACTGTCTTGGAACACATGCATCAGGAAACAGCGTGTGCAACCTTAAGCCTTGTCATTTCCTGACGTGTGTTTTCTTCCCAGCAGCCTCAGTGGCAAGCACTGCATCCCTGTTGGATTTCGAACTGATCACCCAAACAGGCTCAGTATTCTCTTATCATGTGTCCTTTTTGATTTTTTTTTTTTTTGTAAATCACACGATCCCTGTGTTTATAGCAAACCAACTTTAAAATGAATGTTGCTGCAGAGCCAATTTCTATCAACAAATTTGACTTGGGGAGTGAAATGTCTGCTGCCAAATGACTAAGCCCCACTTCTCATAGTTTACAACACAACTTCTGGCTATGCTTAAACTGGAACAGTGACAAGGTGATTACGTGTGGTCATGATGTCTTAGGATGAGAAACACAGCATAATAGATTTTTGTGTAGAAGGGTGCTCAATGCCCTAGTTTTTCAATGTTAATGTAATTTAAAGATGGGTATGTGCAGAGAAAACTGTCCCAAAGGAAAAGCTCTTTACAAAGACATATTTTCCTTTATTGCAGTTATTTAGTATGCAGAGGAAGAAATTTGTTCCTCTTTTTTCGCCTACCAGCTAGAATACAAGAAAACTCTAGAATGTAGTGTTTGTGGGTTTTGTTGTTTTTCTTTAAACACTGCTTTTATTAGCTTTAGCCAACCTTACGAGATGAGCTTACAAGGAAAGCATAGTACAAGTGCCATAGAACTTTATTGATTGTAACAAACAAACAAAACCAACTTTTTCTTGTTGCTGTGTCTGTTTTTGTTATTGGCTTGCTTTGAAGAATTCTGAAAATTCCCATGACAACCTCTCATTTCCAAAGCTTCTGAAAGGAAGCCCTATGACATAACAGAATTAACATGAAGTTAGTCATCCACAGGAGATTCAAGGTGAGGTTTAAGGTGTTTCCAAATCCTCTGTATAGTCTACACAGTTGTATTTGGGCTTGGAGGTGTACATGCTCTTAGGAGTCACAGTACAGCTTCTATGAAATTGGGTGTAGCAAAATCTGATGTTTAGATGCCTCATTTGCAACATGAAACCTCTACTGAGGCTTCTCTGACTGATAACATTAACCTTGAGATCTACCTGTCTGTTTTATGCAAAGACACCTATTATGCAAGCATCTAAATCAGTCAATAGGAGACCATGACTATAAGCAGTATCTGAAACACTGAACCTCTCAATGCCTGAACCTCTATGTTGCATTTATAACCCTAAATTATTTCTTGGTGTTTGATCCTTGAATTGTTTATTTACAAAAGAGAAGTTATCGTTTTTCTGAAAGGAATTTTTGTCCACTGGTATGGAGGGTCCAGCAGGAGGAGCACTGATAGAGACCCAAACCTGTGTCAAGTTCAAATGTGTGTCTCCATCCCCAGTGAGAGACCTCACTATCCCATAGTATATCTGGGTTGCTCTCCTTTACAGGAAAGATGTCTTGGCCTGGAGGGAGCAAGCAGGACTCCTGCCAGGAGCACTCTTCTAGGAATGGGAAATCTATACTCTGCTTTCTGATCCAGTGACTATTTAGGTATTTCATCCATTAACTGTTTCATACAGAATACATCAAATTTAGTTCATAAAAACAGCTTCACAATGGGTTGCATGATTAGAACTGTTAAGTGTTCATAAAGAAGATGCTTCTGGACAGAGTTAGAAGCAGGACAAGTAAGTCTTCGTGGCTGAGAGACTGTTGTGATGAGGTATCTGAACTACAGGCTAAAAAAAACGAAACCACATTGTCAGTATGTCGTGCCTATGCTCACTGCATCACAAGAAAGCTAATACAGTTAGACTGCTGCTGGTATCTGAGATGCCTTGAGAACCTTATGGACTTACTGGCTTAAGTGTAGGCTGTGTCAAAATATAGATACTTTTGTGCTGTTTCAAACAGCCTATGGTATATGAGAGATCTGCAGGTAGCCAGAAGTAGTACAATGGGAAGACTTCACCATAGAAGTTGCAGCTGGGAATAAGACAAAATGCTCAGGAATCCTGCAGAAGTACCTAATGCTACCGAATTCCATTCCTGGGAACATCTTTAGACATCTATGGAATTAAGCAAGCAGGCAAGCATCTAGAGGTTGGTATTTTGGGATTTCTGAACATAAATCTCCCCAGTCCCCTTTATCTATATATATAGATATATATAAAATATATTATTTTTCTTTTCCCCTCTGTGAGTGATTCCACATTAATGGAAGGAAAAGTGGTAGGCCAGGATTACTGGCAGATGGCTGAATTGTTCCCTGGGGAAGTTGGAGGTATGGATTTGAACCTCTTCAGACAGCAGAGGAAAACAGGAAATTGATACCCTACCACAATTTAATAATGCACTTGAGCATCCACTCAAAAGCGCCTACTGGGAGTGTCTGTGTTGCACTGCAGATGTCTCTGCGGTGCAACCTGCAGTCTTGCTCCCCGATCATCTAACCTGAGGTCCTTCTGGGTTGACTGTGAACGCAAGTTTTCCTCTGAGGGGACCTTTCCCAGGGAACCTGGCTGAAAACCTTGATCCAACCTGCAGTCTGATTGCAGCCATGTGTGTTTCTGGGCATCAGAAGACCCAGGGGACTGTTGACTGGCAATACACGGGCAGCTAAAATGCCTGGATTATGATACCTGTGGTGTCCTGCTAAATTCTAATATTTTCTCATCATTGAATATGCTTACGTAGGTGGCTTGTAGACAGATCAGTCACTTTGTTTTCTAACCTGGTCTATGTTCAGCTTATGTTGAAAACTTCTGTGCAGACCATGCAGATTTTCCTTCAATACCTTAGTGTAACAGAATTATAACATAGCCTGAAGTTCAGTTCACAGAACAAAAAATTATTTTCAACATTGTATCATTGCTGTGTATTTTGCTCCAGACTGCTCGCTTTTGAGCTCTTTGGAGCACAGTCAATTCTCTGCTACGTGTCTAGAAAGGACTGCACATGATGAGGGCTTCTGCCTCCCTGGCATTTGGTTGTTATTTTGATAGAGAAAGTAATGTTGTAGTATCATTTGCAATGAGCATGGGAGGAACTGCATTGTAGATTTACGGTAACCATAATCTTAAGCACTTAATGATAAGAAATGCAAGCCTTCTATTATACTTTGTCACTACAGTGACATATACAAATACAGTTTTCTCAAGCTGAAATCATATCAGCTAAGATCATGTCATTTGTATATATTTTCAGGATGGCCTCTTTAATTTTTTTGTTAAATCAAAGGTGGAAATTATGACAAAATATGCTTCAACTGTCTTTGTTTTAGTTCCCTAGTACTGTATGAAGCACTCATTCAGGCAATAGCTATAAATACATAGTGGCAGACAAGCAGTACAAATGAACTGAAAGCTATATATGTGAGAAAGAAAGAGGTTTTTGCACTGGTTAAAGTGAAAAAAGGAACATTTTCCTTTGATATCAAAATACAGCTTGATTGAAGATATGCACAGGCGTACAAGCACACACAATTACTGCTTAAGCTTATGAAAATGTAGCTCTTAATATCTGTTCTAACCTCCATTAGGAATATTATAGAGCTGCAGTCTGCATCTATATTGGTTATTTAACAGTGATAGTGCATATTGTAATTGATCTAGATAAAGATGTTAGCATAAAGTATGGCAGATGTGCTTAAACCTTATGTCCCTATGTAGTCATATTGGCCAATGATGGCTTAATTTTCCCTGAGATAAAATGTGCAGCTCCACACTGTAGCTTGGTGCATCTTTTAAAAGAAAAAGAAAAATTCCTGTGCATCTTTATTTAAAGTGACAGAGTTATTATTAAAGAATACAGATAATTAAGTGCTGAAACTGAAAACCATCTCAGAGTGAAGAATTCTGCTGATTTTGTGTGTGTGATTGTTTACAGATTTTGTTCTCCATTTGCTCCCAAAGAATACACTTAAACACTCAATCAATGAATAACCTACAGCAGTTTGTTGTAGATTCAATAATGGGGAATGGTGCATTGTACCAGGATAGTCAGATATACCCATAGGGAGTGTCAGTGGTCAAAATGCTTCCATTGCCAGAAGGTAGTCTGAAAATGGTCTAGAAATTCAATACAGCATTGACCCTACATTGTATACATGATCTGCAGTCAGTTTCTCAAGCTTACTTGAAGTTTAAAAAACAACCATTTTAATTCTATCTTTCAAAATATATACAAGCATATATATTCTGGATTAAAACTCTTTCTTTTTCTAAAACAGTCAGTTTGAGTGTTGTTTTTTTTTTTTTTTTTTTTTTTCTTTCTTGCTGTGCATGCGTCATATTATTTTATTTTACTACAAGCAGGTCTTATGACAGGTTTCTGAAAATACACTTTTAGAACATTTAATCTCCCATTGAGAGATATCTCTACCTGGTCTGTCTCCAATACCAAATGTTTTTGAAATGCACAGTGATGCCAAATTAACAGTAATATGTCTGTTGCTAGATTTACTGAAAAGCTTTTAACTCCTTTTGATATGAGGAGGTGTCTTAAGCTATGAAGTTCACAATTCTGTCCATTAATAATACAGAAGTTTGCTTGAATTCAAAATATTTAAATATGTGTCTGAATGCAATAAAAAAAAAATAAAATTGAAAATTATGTTATACTTTTAATTCTGTGTACTTGGTAAACAAATGAAAAAATGTAAAATGTGTTCTAGCCGATAACAGAAATATGCTTTTTTTTTTTTTTTTTTAAAGAGTAGGCAGCAATAAGGATCTGAATAATGCTGCCTGGTATCCTGCTTGCTCCCAGTGCCCAAATGGGTCCAAAGCTGCATGCAAGTTGTTTGACAAAACAAAAATTTTCTGCTGACTAATGAATTTCTGACTTCCTCCAGTCTACCAAACATTCTAGGTAAGTCAGACATGTTTCTCTTATAGTGTGGTTCTTATTTTCTAAATTGCCAGTGAATTTCATGTTGAAGTAAAGCAAAATAGTATGTTGCATTACCCTGTGCTTCAGACTGATGCATATTAAAGAGGGTGTTACTACTAAATACTTAGCAAAACAGTCATTAAGCTAAGTGCCTAGAGTTATACATATGACCATAAAGCGAGGTTACACCACAAGCAATTTTTATGGCAGGATATGTATGGTGTTGCAGGCTGGTTTTCAGAAATGAGAGCACAAATCTACTCTTTGTTTTCCAAGCGGAAGTCCAATTGTTTTTATTAAAATAGCAACCATCAATTTATTGGGTTGATTCAAATATTAACAAAGACCTTTCTCCAAGTCTTTTTCCATGAGATTTCAACTGTATCCTATTTAGCTGATGCAAATGTTTCCTAAAAGCAAGAGAGCAAAATAACCTTTCAGCTTTTTCTGAAGCCTAGAAATGTTTTGTTTTGCCAGCTGTCTATGGAAGTTCAGTGCATAAAAGGTTAGGAGCCTGACTTTTTTTTTTTTCTTTCTGTCTTGTATATCTTTGAAAAATTGGTTTATGGCGAGTCATACATCATGTAGCTAAGACATATGGGAATAGTTAAAGATTAAGGTAAATAGACAAATTGAACTGCTTTAAATCATTTTTCCCTGTTTCACTTTTATGAAAGAGCTTATGAACAAAAGTTGACATTAAGCAATCACAATAGGCTATTCTATATATTTTAGACAGTGGTAAAGACTTTAGTGTCAGAAAGTGTTGCATCACTGGTAGTTATATCAATTTGATTGGTGTCCAAGTTTTAAAAATGTTACTTTGTCAAGTCGTAACCTTTTCTGAGTCTTTCATTTGTCATTGTTTTGATGATTATATCTTAAAAAAAAAAAGAGGGGGGGGGTGCAGGCGGGAATGTTCTTTGCATTAGGAATCATATCATGTTTTCTAAGACTTATCAATTGCCTTGATAAAATTAGGGATTTTGTCATTCTTATGCAATGTAATTGTTTAGATGTTTGGCAGTAAATGTTTTCTTTTAAATACAAAGATTAGCAATTTCTCCCAAGGAAAGTGTGTTAGAAAATGCACCTTCATGACATGTCAGAATATACTTTTACAAGCCAAAATACAAATGAGAAGATTTTTGTCATACATTGTCACCATACTCTGGTTGTTATACTTAATTGTGTTACTGTTGCTGGAAGCTTTAAGACCAAAAGGAAAAAAAGTCATCTGACAAAGCAAGGTAATTCAAAATTTGAACTTGATATAAGCAGACACTTTTTTTGTTTCTGTCTTGACTGGTCCAACAAAATATGGATATTCTGTGGATCCTGAATGATAACTAAGAAGGAATGGATCTGTTTTGCCTATTTGTGTGCTTTGAGTACTTGGCATGAACTTAAGAAATGAGAAATAATAGGAGTTTCTACTAAAAATGTCATATGTGATATAAAGTTTTGTTTCCTTTACTTTGTGATTTCAGAGGAATCGCTTGTGTTGTAATTTTGAAGGGCTGGGAGCTGGGTTTGGTGTTCATGATGTTTTGAAGATGAATTGACCACTGTCTAAATATTTCTGTGTGTTATAGGAAGCTCGGGGGGAGGGAAGAGGGAAGGGAAAAATAACCAAGCTATTGGTAGGAATTTCATTCATATCCTTGGGGACAGTTTAGCCAAACAATCCTAAACTTTTCCAAAATGGAGTCTAAATATAATGACGATGGTCTTGATGCTTTTACAACTGTGGTGGGTAATATGATAACATAGCTACATTAAGTTTTGCTCCTTTGCAATACTTATTTCTTATTTGATTGTAGGGAGATCATCGCCACTTTTAGGCCTTGTGTTTTTGTCTGTTACTTAGCTGGTAACTAATTACTAATCAGTTTGGGGTTTGCTGTATGCAATAATACCAAATACACTGGTAGTTTCTCTGATCCTTTTGCAAATAAGTAGTTTATATCAATCTCTCTGTAAACAAAAACTTCTGAGTATCTATCTGTTGCAAAAGGTCATTTGATTTCCAATACAGATGATGGATTAAAAAAAGAAAAAAAAAAAAAGAAATACAATTTAATACTGGAAATATTCTTCTCTGTAGAAAGGTAACATTACTTGGTAGCTGTTTTACATGGGATGCTTAGTGTTTTGAATTAAGGGATTTATTTCAAATGTTTTTGTGAAAATGCATTGGTAAAGCAGATGCTGATTATTTTCAGTACTGTGGGTATTAGTTCAGCTCTTAGTCTCTTTGGTAGGAAAATATTTGTTTCCTGAAATCTATTGCTACCTTTCCTATCACATCAGTTCAAAATAAGGCAACCTATGAGAACCCTAAAATAATCAGAATTCTTAACTGAGTTAAATTCTCTAAATTGATGGAGAAACGTCTCTGTAAGAAGTGAATATTAAAATGAATCTCTAAAAAAAATACAGTTCTAGAACAATTTTCTATATTAACATAGATTATTGAACTACATGAGAATTTTGTGTTATAAATATGTATTAGTGTGGTTTTCTGGTAAGGCAACTTTTCTCCCTCTTTTCTTCTTAATATTGGCTGCGGAGAGTGCCAGTAAGTTTAGCATGACATGACTGTGGCTAGATTCAGGCAAGCGAGTTTTGCCACTTCAATCACAAGAGGGAGCTGTTGGAGCTAAAACTACAAGAAATGTGCGCTTACACATCGCTGTTTTAATCAATACTGCTAGTTCTAAATATTTAATGAAATACATTAACAATTATTAGTTTCCACCATCACACCCTATGACTACCACTGACATGCATTTTCTAAGAGAAGTATGAAAACAATAATTAAAGTGAATAAACCTATACATTGGTGGCAATATATTTGGCGTGTGTGTGGGAACAACAGCCAATCTTTTCTCCTTATGTTGGTGACAAGCTTAAATCTGCTTCAAAGAAAACAGTCTTGTCAAGCAGTGAAACATTACTTTCGTTATAAAAACCTTTTTTACTCATTTACATTGTTTTGCATCAAAAGTCTGTGGGTCCAACTTTTCTAGTGGCTCTGGTAAGAAATTGAGCTCACACATGAATGTCATATGGTGAAGAATGTCAGTTTATATGAAAATTGAAGAATTATCTGTTTTCCCCCTGCAGTTATGCACAAAGGCATCATTGTCAGTTGCCTTTCTTAGACCTTCCCTGCAGGCATGATCAGACTCAAGCAGACAGCTATTTTCCTTTAATTTTCCACAGCAAGCCAGTAATGCTTATGATTATTGTGAAGTCAGGAAAAGTTTAGTTTCATCAAGTGACATGTAGTGTTGCAATTAGTTACTTAAGCACTTCTTATAAAATTTTCTGCTACGGTATCTAGCTTGTCAGATGCAGCTAAATATTAGCATCTCGTATTAAACAGGAGGGTAAAAACTCCTAGCAGAAAGCACAGCTGACAGCTCTCAACATGAGCTGAATGATCACTCACAATTGTAATCGATTCTGTAAGTACTGAACACAAACCCCCAGGCAATTGAGGAAAATAGGATGATGAAGGACTGCAAACTAATACGTTACACATCTTCATTGATTAGTCATTGATTAACCATTATTTTCCTGAATGACAAACAGCTAGCGGTAAAGTAACTGGAGCTGATGATTTATTTACATGTTAGACAGAAGATGACTTCTTTATTCAGCTGATCGTGAGCTAATGCAAAATCAGAAGACAGCAACAGTTTAAGAATAAAGGCAGGTTTATAATCTTTTCTGACAGCATTCCTAGATTCAAAACGTTTTTACTGGGAAGAAACATAACTAGGCTTTCAAGCAATGCATGAAATTCAAATGTGGATCATCTACACAGTACCTGTAGTATAACTACATTTAAAGAGAAGATCATTTTATAGACTTGGTATTTACAAGAATATTGATCAGTGTTTATTGAACTTTTAATTTAATTCTCTGTTTTGTTCAGTGCCTTATTGGCAATTAAACATAGCTGCAGAAATGGCAGAATAACGGTTTGTAATACACCTACTGTCTTTATTATTCTGAAAGATACATCCAAACCTTAGCTATGAACACCCCATGGAATTAAGAAATGCATAATTAGGAAGCAGTCTACACATCTGGAGATCATATTTTCCTTTACTACATATCAAACACCTAATTATAATCAGCTCCTACCAATACACTGCAAAGTAAAACTGACTGCATTAGAAGGTGGTAGGGCAGGGGGGTGGGGAGTGAGCTTGCTGCCAGTCCAGTAGACCTATGTTGAAAGTCCAGTTGACCTTTTCCCCTTCTGTTTTCTTTTGTACCCTCTTTTTTTTTTTTTTTTTTTTTTTTTCCTCCTGAAGAGGGAATAAATTTATTCCAAGTGAATGTGGTGCTTAAATCAGTTTAAGGAAAGAGGCTTATGATATTTTCTACTTGAGAGATTCCGCAGTACTCCAGGTATGAAAGTATTGTGGACAGTATCTGTTATTCATCAGTGGTGAATCAGTAGTTTTCTTGTTTTTCATAGTGTTAAATTGTGATGAACTTTTTGTAAGCATGGGGATACAGTAAGGTTTTTTATTATTTTTTTTTTTTGGTACGAATTAAGTTCTAAATTAACATTAATTAATGTCCCCTTAATATAGGGTGCTTGTGATCTCTGTATATGTATGTTACAAGTATCTGAGAGAGTTTCAGTGAAAGGTGTGTGCTTTCAGGAAATATGAATGTAGAATAACTAAGAGAAATTCATCACCATTGCTAGATTTAAAGGTTAATTATCATATCACATAAATTAAGAAAAAAGAAAGATGCCAATATACCATAGAACTTCAGTTGAAGCATTAAGTGTGCTTGATACTACCTTTAACTGTTCCATTATTACATGTGTAATTGTGCTATTCTGTTGTCTTCTGGTCTTAATAGATTTCTAATTCTGTAGATTAATACATTAAAATATCACTATATGCTTGGCCAACTCTTTACACATCAGATTCTCTCTCCTAATT